CAATGCACATTCTCCATTTATCGGTCTTCTTTTTAACAAGAAAGGGATTGGCAAGCCAGTCGGAGTGGAATACCTCTCTAATAAATCCGGCTGCCAGGAGTTTGGCGATCTCTTCGCCTATGGCCCTGTGCCACTCGTCGTCGAAGCAGCGTAGGCGCTGCTTAGCGGGCTTTGAGCCCGGGATGAGGCGTAGTGCGTGCTCGGCGATGTCCCACGGTATGCCCGTCATGTTAGATGGCTTCCATGCGAAGACATCACGATTGGCGTGCAGGAAGTCGACGAGCTCGCGTTCTTATTTGGCCGGGAGCTGGGTCCCGATCTGTACCGTCTTGGTTGGGTCAGTGGGGTCGATCCCCACCGCCTTGGTTTCCTCGAGTGGGCAGAAGGCCGTCGAGGAGATTGGTTTTTTACAGTCCGAGACTGCTGGGGTCGATGACTCCCCGAGCTACGGGAGCTCGGACAAGTTGATGACCGCGGTGGCGAGCTCGAAATGCTCGTGGTCGCATGTGAAGGCGTGCGAGAAGGCGCTGCTCACGGTGATGACGTCATTCGGTCCCGGCATCTTCAGCTTGAGGTAGGTGTAGTTGGGGATTGCCATGAATTTGGCGTAGCATGGCCGCCCCAAGATGGCATGGTAGGACCCTGGGAAGTCCACCACTTCGAAGGTGAGGACCTCCAAGCAGAAGTTGGCTCGGTTGCCAAACGTGACGGGCAGGTCGATCTGCCCGAGTGGGTATGCCTGTGCTCCCGGGATCACCCCATGGAAGGGAGAGCCCGCTAGGCAGAGTTCCGACCGGGGGATGCGCATGGCGTCGAGGGTGTCGACGTAGAGGATGTTGAGGCCGCTGCCTCTGTCTATCAGCACCTTCGTGAGGTGCTTTTTGCGAACGATGGAGTTGACGACGAGCAGGTAGCATCCCGGTCTCGTGACGTGGGAGGGATGGTCCCTCTGATCGAAGGTGATCGAAGATTCTGATCAGCTAAGGAAGGAGGGGATGGCCGTCTCAGCGGCGCATGCCTCCCTATAGCGCACCTTGTGCTGGCGCTTGGACCAGATGACGTCGGATCCACCGAAGATCATGATGCATTCCTCAGGATCAGGGAAGCTGTCCCCGTCCTTGCCTGCCGCACTTCCTTTCTTGGCTGTCGTCTCTTTGCCGCCTCCTTCTTTCAACCCGCCGGCCTGTCGCAGGAAACATTTGAGGAGCTCGCAGTCCTTGTAGAGGTGTTTGACGGGGTAGACGTGGTTGGTGCATGGGCTATCCATGAGCTTGTTGAAGTGGTCAGTCAGGCCCTGCTGGAGCTGCTTGCCCATGCGATCAGCCACGACGACCAACACGGTGTTGTCCGATCGGCGCTGATCATTTTTGTTCTTCTTGTCCTTCTGTGTGGAAGGGCCCTCGTCTTGGTCCATGCGCTTGGCCTTGCCTTTGTCCCGGCCTCCGTTGAAGACTGCTCCGACCGCCTCCTTGTCAGAGGCGTGGTTAGTGGCGACGTCGAGCAGGTTGTGGGTGGTACGGGGCTTCAGGCAGCCAAGCTTGTGGATTAGGGACTCGCAGGTCGTCCCAGAGAGGAATGCGCTGATGATGATGTCTACATCGATGACATCTGGGAGGGAGTTGTGTCGTTGGGAGAACATACGGTTGTAATCCCGCAGGGACTCGCTGGGCTCCTGCTGGCAGCTCTTGAGGTCCCAGGAGTTACCAGGGCGAACATACGTCCCCTGGAAATTTCCGATGAAGACCCTCTTGAGGTCCGCCCAGTCACGGATGCTGTTGTGCAGAAGGAATTCAAGCCAAGCCCGAACATGTTCCCCCACGTAGATAGGGAGATATTGAATGATGAAAAGGTCATCATCCACCCCTCTGGCTCGATAGGCGAGCCGGAAATCTTCGAGCCAAATACCGAGGTTCGTCTCCCCGGTGTACTTGGCGATGTTGGTGGGTGGTCGGAAGCGCTGTGGGAACGATGCTCTCCGGATCCGCTGGCCAAAGGCTCAGGATCCCGGGCCCTCAGGGTTGGGACTCCAGTCGTCTGGCCGGTGACCATGCCAAGGGCGCGTTTCACCGCTCCCCTCGATGGTTCGGCCGGGACCCATGTCGCCTGCCCCATCACCGCCCGGTGGATGTCATCATCATGCCGGGCCTGATGCCGGTTGCTGATGATGCTGCGAGCGTCTTGGTGCGGACTGAGCCATTCGCGTGCCGGCGATCGATGTGGGGCAGGCGCCAAGTCGGACCGTGGCGTAGCCGTGGCCTCTCCAGCCGCGCTTGGTGGCTGTAGCGGTGAGCGAATAGAGCGATCCATCTGGTGCGTCCCCACTCCCCCAGTGGGGAGAGAGGGCACAAGTCAGAGTAGCGATGCAGAGCTTTCCGCCTGTTGAACGGCGATGACTTCTACCAGCGCCCGGAGGTTCTGGTAGACCGCCCGCTCCTGGGGGTCGACGGGCTTGGGAATGCCGCGCGGAAGCATTGCCGCAGCGGCGATGTTCTGGCTAGCCCGAGCGAACTGTGGGGGGTCGTTCCCCTCATTCATGATGTCGCGCTGGACCTGGCGGGCGCGACCCCAAGCGTCGCTCATCGGTTCTCTCACATGGGGCGCAATGTGCTGCACCGAGCGCACCGACGCAGACGGTGGCTGGTTCTACCGCCGTTGTTGTAGCTCCTCGGCGTGCCCTTGTGCGAGCGTGAGGGCCCCCGCACGAGGGTCCGGAGGGGTGTGGGTCTACACAGACTCCATAACCACCGGCGGCTATCCCGGAGCGTCCACCATAGCGCACTCTTGGGATGGACGGTGGCTAGGTGCCACGTCGACGTCACCGATGCTGGAGCCGTCGCTCTCAACCTCGTCATCTAGGAGTTCGTGGAAAGTGGTGGGAGCATAGCTCACCATTCCCAAGAATTCGTATGTGAGAGGGGGCAGCGCCAGCGTCCTTCGGAGACCCCGAGCGCACGCGCGCATCCGTGGGGGACGTGAGGCCGCAGGGGAACCAGTCGTACGGTGTTTGCGGTGCGGACAATACGGTCCCTCCAGATAATCGGCAGGAGATAGTATATAAAGAGTAATTAACAGTATGTACATTACTCACAGCAGGGTTTGAGCAGAGAGTTTGCTCGAAATGAAGCGCAGGCGCCTCGTCGTTGAAGTCGTCGTGCATCCCGGAGCCGAGGGAGGGCGCCCCTCCAACGGGTGCCAGAACAGGTGCCTCCTCGTAGAGGTGCAGTACGCCGAGCCGGTCGACGATGAAGTCCAAGCTTCCGAAGAGGAAGGTCTAGGACGGCTCGAAAATGGGTGGAACCCATATCCCAACAGGTGGGAGTGTGGGAAACTCTAGTGAACCGAAGCGAGTCGTATTGCTTGAGCCCGCCATGGCGAAGGTGGCGGAAAAGAGGGCCATCCGATGACCAAAAAGTGTGAACGTACAACGTCTTCCCCATGGCCGGCGCCAACTGTTGGTGCAGAAAGTGACCAACACATAAATATTTGTAGCTTTGCTATATGTTATGATCGGAGGTGGCGTAGCACTCAATGACATAGAGTTTATACTGGTTCAGGCAATGTGCCCTACGTCCAGTTTGAGTCGATCGGTGACTTTATTTCTGAGCCCAGGTGCTCGAAGTTTGCTGTGGGGTTACAAACGGAAGGGAGAAAGATAAGGGTATAAGAGGTCCGGTCGGACTCTTGATCTGAAGGGCCGAGAGTGACAGGAGCCCCGCTATGTGCTAAATGTTCGAGCGTGTGCTTGTATCACTTTAGAGTGTCTAAAGTTATAGAGGGTGAGTCAATGTAAGTGAATTGATTGATCCTCTCCCTTTGGGGAGAGAGCTCATCCCCTTTTATAGATGAAGGGGATGGCCTTACAAGTGAGGGGGAGAGAGTACGTATGCTACTAAGTCTTGCCGCCCACGCCGGCAGGTACAAGATGATGGTAGGCGCCCACAATACTGTTTAATGTCAGATGCACGTAGGAGGTTGCGTCGTCTTCTTCAGGTATGGCAGACGTCGGTGCCTGCCACACTGTTGATACTCAGAGGCATGCAAGGGGTTTTACCATGTTCGCCTGGTACGACAAATGCCGGCACCCACAACACTGCTGATGCCTCAGAGGCATGTGGGGGAAGCCTTACCGTATTTGTTTGGTATGAGAGTTGATGGCGCCCACAACACTGTAGGGAAAATATCGGCGTCTACAACATTGCTTCGGTTATGTCATGCTAGGGAGGTTGCAGGGTACTGTCCTGCAGGTGTATAGGGTATGGTCCTTGGTATTGCGGTTGACTTGAGTGTCCTGCCTTACCTTCTTGTCCGTTTCCTGGTCCTTACCGAGCGGGCGTCCCCGGTCGGTTGGTTCGAGTCGGCTCTGATTGCGCCAGTCAAAGAGGAGCTGTAAGCAGGGGTTCGGCGCATCCCCGATCAGAGATGCGAGTCGGAGTCAGAACGTGGTGTTTGGCCAGGCCTTCTGGTCGGAGAGGCCGTCCAAAGGTGGGCCAGCGTCGAAAGCGGACGTCATTCCTCCTCGGTCGGGCCTTCTGGTCGGAGATTGGATTGTCGTTCTAATATGTCGTTTAGATGTTTGGTTTAGCCCATGAGCTACGCGTTGTTACTAACGTCGCTGGCTGGCCGAGCCACAGTCAATATTTTTACGTTTTGATGCGTGTGTCGGCACCCGCTAGACTATGTACCTCCCCTGCATATGGGTTTACATCCGATGTTTCGAAAAACAAATCTTGCGAATCTATAAAAGCACGCATTATCACCTAGCACTATACTGTACATGACTATAACATTTAGACCCACATCATGACTGAAGAAACAAAATACCAGAATGCCCTCGTAAACCGCCTATAAATACCGCAACCCTTCACTTCTTCCCTCCCTTTTCCCCCGCCCTCTTCGCCTCCTCCTTTGATTAGCACATAATTACCATTCTGTCCCCAATGGACTTCTCTGCAGGTTGCACGCCCTTCGTCGACATCGACGACATGCAAGTTTTCGCGGCGATGGCAACACCGCCGCAAGTCAGCCCATGCCCATTCCCAGCTCAACCTCCGGCGACAGCCTCGCCCGAGGTCGACGCCGCCGCGGGGGAGTTGGAGTCCGCCGACGAGCGGCGCCTCCGGCGGAGGATCTCGAACCGGGAGTCGGCGCGGCGGTCCCGCGCGCGGAAGCAGCGCCGCCTCGACGAGCTCCGCGACACCGCCGAGCTCCTGGAGCGCAGGAAGCGCGAGCTGGCGGCCGGCGCGCAGGCCGCTCGCGAATGCCTGGCCCTCGCCCTGCTCGCCAACGCAGGGCTGCGGGCCGAGGTCGCCGCGCTGTCCAGCCGCCTCGCGGCCGCGGGCCGCGCGCTCGACCTCGGTCGCCTGTACGACGCCGCGGCCGACGTCGCCACCGGCAGCGTCTGGCACGTGGACATTGAGCAGACGATCGCCTCGCTGATCGCGTGGCGCGAGGAATCGATGCAGGCATGCAGGTAGCTTAGCGCGTGCACTGCACGAGCGAGCTTGTTTGATCGGAGAATGATGAACGAAATGTAGAGGACGATCGAGTAGCGTCCTGAAATCATGTAGATACATTTATCATAAATCATGGGCGAAAAGATTAATTCGCGAGAAGGTTCGGAAAACGATCGACGATCATCAGTTTATCATCACTCTGGGTTCCGGGAGGGATGATCAGCGCTTCCTTCTATCACTCTGACGCGATGTTGGTGGCATGGGCCAGCCATGAATGCATGCATGCGCAGGCATACGCTCCTATGGTCCCGTTCGCTTGTTTGATAAGTCAGACTGAAAATTATTGTTGGCTGATTTATTATGAGAGAAAAAGACTGTTCGTTCGCTGGAAAAAATGTCTCTGTCTCCTTGTCTGGTGTGCTGAAGAAATGGCAGACAGATGGTATCAAATGTTAACTTGGGCGTTCAAATAAAGCTCTCGTGCTTTGGCCATTAACATCGTTTTCGGCTGCGATTTGTGTGGGTGGACGGTCGCCGTCCGTCCCGTCGCCACGTCGAAAGCGGGGGCCGGCCGCCGGCGTGCGAGCGCGATACACCGTCGCCCTTCTGAACCGGTTCAGATTCGGTCATGAGGCATCGTTCTCGCTTTCCGCAACAACGCACAACGGCCGTGAGCGGCCTTTCGAGGGGCCCACGGAATGGGCAGGCTGACGTACGAGTTTGTATGGACTTGTCGACTTGGCCCAAATGACAAGGCCTGATATGGACTGGCGGCCCAAAGAAGCGTACCATCAGCATCGTCGCGTGACTCGTCTTTCTACTCAAGTTGAAGGACACCAATCAAGCATTGAAAACAATGCAACTAACGTATGCTTAAGGGCACCCGCAATGGTATAACGCAGTTACCTCTTCAATATACTAGTTTTTAGCAAATAACTCATAATATGATTAGACTCACATGACACTCTCACATGATCTTAGAATTTATATATGAGTCTAGCTCTTAATCAAGAGCTAGTTTCTCTCTCTCTTTCTATTAATATATAAAAAATACTTAGAACTAATTTATGAGCCGGCCATTGCGGGTGCTCTAATGCTTTGCTTTCCATCAGCCATTCGACCATCAAATTTATTTCTGCCATTTACTGTTTGAAATGTGAGGATTTTTGTCGATTTCCAAGTTATTCTCGTGAGATTAAAGTGGTTTCTGTAAAATTTTTATACATGAAATTCTTCCATTTCAACCGGCCCTTACCGCCTGTTTTGCGTATGCTGCCGTGCTGTGATGATCATGGCCTGCCGACTGTGCGGTTCCTGTGAAAGGCACCTGTGATTTGCATATAGGCACTAACTGGTGCCATCATCAAGCAAGCGAAACTCCACTGGTTTTCTTTTTTTTCGAACGGATGCCGGACAGCTCTGCTTCTTGATTTCAGTGGTGAGGTAGAGATGGATGAAAAGAGGGAGACAAACGGTGCAGTAGGTCTGTTCCCTACTCCGGCGGTCCGGCCGGCGAATACCCCCGCATCGGCCAGTCTATTCACGGTCCTGTCTCGGCCGTCAAATACGCACTCAGATCAGGCGAGCTATGCTGAAAACTAGTAGAAAATATGTACTACTGCACCACGGACCAGTACTGTAGTATATATTTTCAGATGACGCAGGATTTATTTTTTAGGGGGTTAGTACCACTTGTTCTTGACGCTTAAAGTTTAGGTCCCGGCAGTATTTTTAAACCATTGGATGAACACAACTGTAGCGCAAAATAATTTGGTTTTTAAAATCTGATAGGTGTTTGGATAGAACAACTAGTTTCTAAACTCACGGTGGCTTGTGTAGTTGTGTTTGACGTGGATTGTGGGGTTAAGAGTCACCTAGTTTACTGAGGGTGGGTAAGAACCCATGGTGTTCTTACCGCTTAAAGTTGTGACCGATGGCTTTGGATAAGTATGATAGGAGTAAAATTAGCATTATGTTAAAAGATGGTTAGGTTTCAACATGGTTTATATGCAAAAATAGATGCAGTGCCACGTAGTGAGGGACTAAAAAATAGAATCAATGACATTGAGAAGAACTCATAATTAATTTCTAATGGCAATGAAGTGATCCGCACAGATTTGGATGGCAACGAAATAATTTTCTCATATAGATAAGCATTTTTATTAGTTATTTCATGTGATAATATACTCATGTTGTTCTAAATTATAAGACGTTGTGGTTTTTTCTAGATTTATAATTTTGTCATACATTTAGATATAATATATATCTAAATACATATAAAAAATAATGCTTATAATTTAGAATGGATGAAGTAATATGTGTCTCTCCTAAAATGACGCACTATTGTGCTAGTCGTATGAACGCTGAAATGAAGAAGCCACGTTTTGTTTAGCTAAGAGCATCTCTAAGAGTACCGAGAAGAGTCTCTTAATCTAGGAATTTTGGCAAGATTAAAAAAAACTCATCTCCAACGACTCCTAAAACCACCTCCCAATCTTTTAGCACTTGAAAAAAATCACCCCCACGCACATAAAGTTACGCGGCGTATCGTCATGCCAATCTAGAGATAAAAGAACGTGGGGAAGGGGGAAAAGGTAGGACAGGTTTCTAATGCAAATGTTCTAAGAGGCAAATAAAGTACAAAGGTGGTTAGCGTGTGATTTAGAAATAGAATCATGGTGAAGACGCACAGGAAGTTGGAGCAACGGGAGCATATCATGCTGCGAGCAGGTATGTTTATTGGGTCTTTGGAAAAACTTTCAGAGAAGGTTTTGGGTCTTCGAGGGCGACGCCATGGCACACCGCATTGTCACCTACGTGCCAGCCTTCCATAAGATTTTCGATGAGATCTTCATTAATGCAGCCGACAATAAGTGGCGTGATCCTTCCTTGAACGCCCTCCACGTCGACATTAACGTGCCGATGTGTACTGTCTCTATTTACAACAACGGTGAGGGGATTCCCATCATCATCCACAAGGTCGAGCGCGTCTATGTGCCGCAATTTATCTTCGACGATCTCATGTCCGGTAGCACCTTTGATGATGGCGAAAATAGGACTACTAGAGGAAGCAACGGATATAGTGCCAAGCTCACCAACATCTACTCCACAGAGTTTATGATTGAGACCTCTAACGGGAGCGGCAAAATGTATTCTCACGTGCGATGTGAAGGATAGTGTTTTGCAGTTAGATACTCATGGTTTAGTATTGATTGTGGCAATAGATTCTGAATTTGCCACAGAATTTTAGGGTTTTCAAAATGGGCATTGGGGGTAACTTGTAGCAGGAAGGTTTTATGTTCCTTCATTCTAAAAAAATTGAGAAAGATGCAACTGCTAAAATCTGCATGACACTATCAATTCATTGTTATACTGGATAGCTATCTGTGCAGATTTTCTCTGAAGACATGAACAAGATGGAAGCGTCCCAGATTACCAATTGCGAAAGGGGCTTGAATTGGACTAAAGTCACCTTCAAACCCGATCTCACCAAAATTTAAAATGACAAATTAGATGAGGATGATGTGGCTCTCATGAGGAGGAGAGTGATTGATATCATTATCACTCTTTGGGAAATAGTAGATGTCAAGTTGGTGGTAACAGTGTTCCTGTCCGGAGCTTCTTACAGTATGTCAAATTGTACATACAATCTGATGAACTTCCCAGGTTTGTTAAAGTTTCGTAGAAGCATCAGTTTTGAGTGTAATGCCATAAACAAAAATTGAATTACGTCTCTTATCACATTGCATTTGTATCTATTTCTTTTCAGAATCCATGAAAGGGCAAATGCAGCAGGTAAATGTCGGTTATGTTCTTTCGGGGTGGCTTATGTAATGCCTTCTAATGTGGGCAGATTCTAAATTAAAAAAGATCTGAAGAAAACAGATGGAGTTAAGAAGAAAAAAGTTAAGGTTTCACAGCTGGAGGATGCTAAATTTGCTGGTGAATGCACGTTGATTTTAAGCGAAGGAGACTCAGCCACGACCCTTGCTGTGAGTAATGGAAACCTTCTTTATTTGTAACAGTGTTTGTTTATTTTATTTTATTAACAAACTGAAAAGTTCGGTCCCCTGCAGATGGCAGGTCTAGCTGAGATAGGGAGAGAGTATTATGGAATATTTCCAATGAGAGGCAAATTATTAAATGTCAGAGATGCAAGCATTGATGAAATTATGAATAATGATGAAATTAATAACATCAAAAAGATTCTCGTTCTACAACATGGTGTTGAGTGTGATAACAAGCAAGTTGAGATACGGTCATATCATGCTTATGACGGATCAGGTATGTTTTACAACATCTACTACTTTAATTATGCTCAGTCTTATATCTACTGATATTTGAAAAAAAAAATCAGGATTATTGGAAACTTGGGTTCCGAGCAGCTGAGTGGGAGAGTGAAGGGGAGAGGAGAGGGTTTGCAAATGAGTGAGAGAAAGAACCCACTTGCCCTCATGCTCATGACACTATATAGGCAACGACAATTTACATACGATCCCATGGTGGGGGTGAATTTCACAAGCTACTACACTAACCCCCATTAGGCCTCTTCAAGGGAAAGTTTGGCCCATATACCACATGGGCTTCCCCCAACAGTAGCCCCTCAGCTATTAGGTTATGGCTGGTACTACATGACCTAGTAGATGCTCATACAATAAGAGGCACAATACAACTCGAACCTTAGTTGCGAGGATCACCCTTTGCAACCTACACGTGTGCGCCTCACTAAAAACTCCATCCCAAAAACCCCAAAAACCCTTTTTGAAAAAGGGCATGGAGAAAGAGCACACGCATGACTCTAGCCTATACATGTTCAAACTTCTTCGGCTTCTAGCTCTAAGTGCCTTGAGGTTGATTTTCCCGATGTCTTCATCTTTGGACTTTGGTTCCCTTCGCTGCTTCTACAACATGGTTCATCGGCTTCATCCAGCGCATAGGTCTTCGCCTCTAGGAGCTCCTCAATGCGCAAGTCTTCGTCTCCGAGGCCTTTGCCTCTGGTATTGTCTTAGCGAGCAGGTCTT